GGGGCTGGAGGTCAGTCAGCTTCTCTAACTCTTTGAAAGTGTGAAGGTTATATAAAAGCAAAGCTGTACCATTTTGGGTGAGAGAACATCGGATAAAATCAATCTCAACTGAATCATCAAAGACGAGCTTTACATTTTGAGAGATTAAGTAAAAAATGTTAGGTATCATGGACATTAGGAAAAAAAAAAATTCATTTGCCTCTTCAGGAAAAGTTGAATACTGAAAACAAAGAAAGTAAAGATTCAGGAATATGCAAGTTAATTTTCATCAACAGTTTTGGGCTTAATCTCTAAAGAATAAATAGAAAGAAAAATATGTATTAAAAAAATACAGAAAAGAAAAAAGTGATCTTATTAGTTTTACTTACACCAACTTAATATGGACAACCTAATGCTAACTATCTTTTGATCTGACTGTAAGTAGAAGTTAAACCGGTTAGTCTGTTTGGTATCCAAAGAGTAGAAATTCTTCTCAGCTTTACGTTTAAGTTCTCATTAAGGTATGGCAATATACCATGGTTATAGTTGGGGTTTTTTTGGTTGTGTTTGTTTGTTTGGTTTTTTGTGTGTTTTGTCCAGATATTCTTTGGAGACACATTTTATGGAATGTGCATCTGTATGTGTATGTGTGTGTATATACACATATCCACAAACATACACACAAACTTATATACACATACTTTTTCACACTGCTCTCTTTATTTAATATGATTTCTTCATCTGCTATCTTCAATTCAATTTGTATGGAGTTCTTTTTAAAAAGTTCGGAAGGTAAATACTTTAGTACCTAAAATATTCTATGTAATCCAAATATAGTATGGTACCATTGAATCTACAAAACTTCTTTGTGTTTTCACTCTCTCCAAAAGGTGAGAGGAATTTAATATATAAATAATCAAAATTCCAATTAAAACGGTATTTTGGGAGAAGGGGAGTTTATAGATTTTCATCTGAAATGGGATTTCCATTTTAGAGAGAGAATGTAAGAAAATAAATTGTATTCTAACAATTAATACAGCCCTGCTATATATTTTGCTCTGACCAGGAATGCACAGATGGAATGAACAGTCTCAATTTAGCTGTTTTCACAAGTAAAAAGAGCGAGGAGTCAGAGGAGAAAATAGAAAACAATTTAAAATTGCATTTTCAGTAAGTGTATGCCTATCACACATTTCTATTCACTGCTTCCTCAGAGAAGTGGCAGTGCTCTGCTAGTATTTTGTAAGAAGCTCGCTGTAAAAGGTAAGAGAAGAAACATGCTAGTGCTTAGAATCACACACACCGAGACAGAAAAGAGGTAACTGTTCCTATCCAAGCCCTATCCCACGCAATAATTCGTGTCTTAAGAAAGAAGGAGAAATTCTCACATTATAGCCAAGGATTTTATGTACCACCAAGTAATTCTGGTTAAAACATATAAGTTTGTCAGTTTTACTCTCATTTCTCCTTGTTTTCCCATCAATGACAGAAGAAATGGAAGTCTGTAAATCCTAAGTTAACTTCCATTGGACAGAATTTGCAAGCACACCGTTCAGACATTATTACTGCCTGAACCTTAAAGTTGGTGCTACTTTTCCAAGAAGTTGTACCTAAAATGACAAAAAAATCTGTCTGGTTTTGTCTAAGTATAAAGCATAATCAAAATGGAAAATGCAGAATGCCCATTATGATTACAAGATGCAAAATTTATATTATGTTCTGCCATATTCTCACAAAAGTCTGTGATGTAGAAGTTGTGAAACTACATGAATCACTTGAACTCAACCAGCCGTTTCCTGAGAATTTTAATCAATGCCTGAAAGTACGCAGTATTTGAATTAGGAGTAACTCACAGGAAATGTATGTGTGTTTAGAGCACACATTTTCATCTCCTTACATTTTCATCTTCTTAAGCTGTTATCAAAATAACACATCAGAAATGTAGCAAGACTTACCATTTCACCACTGACTGGGCAAAGCAGGAAGCACACTGTAACACTACCACACACTAACCCTCAGAGATGAGCAATGTCCTGAGAAAAACACCCAAACATCTAAGCTAACCTTGCTTGGAGGAGGGTGCTGGTAGGGAAGGGATTGGACAGCACGACCTCCTCACGTCTATTCAGCCCTAAATTATGCTATGATTTTTATGTTATTTCAGAGCTGTAACTGAGGTAGCATGCCACGTATCAAAGTGGAAAAACAGAATAAAGAGCCTCTCCAATTGAAATGAGCATATAAATAAAACTTCATCTTGACATTAACATCAAGAACACAGATTAGAACAAAACAAATTTTAGTCTCACCATGGCCAGGAGGAAGAGTACAAAAATGTGCTATTGTCATTCCACTGAAAATTATACCAATGTTTTGTTTCTTTTAAAGAAGCAAACACTGCCTTCAAGCAAAACAATGGAAGTCAATCCAAGTATTGTGAAGGCTGGATATAATACAAAATACTAACATTTGTTCTGAGAATTAACTGTTTTTATTTTTCTACCACACAGGCTTGACATACATACTCCTTTATTTTTATTTAAATATGGAGTCTATGATTTGTATTCTGTGTATGTCAACTAATTGATAAAAATGACGTCTGGTGCACTTTTATTCTTTTTTTAAAAAATCTCTCTCTCATCAGAACTAAATGGAAAATATTCAGGACTGTTGTTGAAGAAATGAATTTAACATCCAACAGAAAACTGACCTCTTCATTTAAATGATGGTAGTTCAGCAGTAAAACTTTTAAATTATCACTACAAAACAGTAATCCAAAAGTCTTGTAGACCAAATCAAATGTATTCCCTTCACTGTTTCGGTGGGAAAAAAAAAAAAAAGTAATAGTGACAGAACAGAACTTTCTAAACATTTGATTTTTCAGGATTTTTAATATTAATTTTAGGACATGGTTTTATTATCTTTGAGTAATGCTCCAATTACTAAACCTTGGTCAGATTAAACACACTAAGTGTGCCTACTTTTTATCAGCTAACATATTAACCAGCAGAAAGCCACCACTTTCTGATAAAAACCCCCCCACACCACAAACACACACACCAAAACCAACCACCCCACCACCCCCACGCCCCCCAAATTAATATTCTCACTGTAGGGCACCTGCCGGATCCCCCAGGAAGGACTTCCCAGTGCCTTGCAGAGTCCATCCAAAAATACTTAACTGCCATCTAGTGGCTGAGTAGGATGACGTCTTTATGATGTCTTTCAGGCTCTCTAAATAAATTCTTCCCTGATTTCTAATATTTCTACTTGCGTTCTCAAGCTTCCTTCAGGGCCTAAGAAATCCCGATGTTATCAGAAGACAGCGTTTTAATCAAAGTTCAGCTACTAGTAGTGTAGGAAGAACAACAGACTGGAACAGATGATCTCTGTTTAAATTATATTGAGGTCTCAACGCAGAGGGCCTCACTTCATATTTTCAAAAGTTTAATTAATTAATCTGCTACAGTTGTAGAACATTAAAAAAAAAATCTATTAGTGCTTATTAGGCTTCCTAAAAACAACTCCAAAAGAACCTGAAAATTGTAGCATGTTTAAACTGAAAAGTAAGTTTTAATATTAAGAATCAAAGACAGATTTCTGTCACCAAAATTGGAAACTTGTGCGTAAAAACTATATTTCATGGACATAAAAGACAGAGTATAACTGATTTGCACTTATCATGTCCTGGAGCGAAGTTTGACAAAGGTTAGATACTCCTTTACTGCCTGAGTAAAATGCTCTGCACTTCAACAGTTCCTATGACCCCAGCAGTAAAGTCTTCTGCTAGGTTTCTATCACCTCTTGTTTCACAGAACCTTGGTTTCCTTTCTGTGCGTTTTTGATAAAGCATAACTTATTCTCAAGGCTAACAAGAAAACATTATCTGCCTACATACGCTTCCTGATATTCACCCGCTTTAAGCTAAGATATGCCAATTCTAACATTACACATGGGGCCTACAATTAGAACATCATTTCCTGCACACCACATATTGCAAGCCTGGCTATATTTTTTACAAGATAAGAACAAAGCAGATTTATACCTCTGAATTTTTTTAGCTTTCTGTTTACTGAGACTGAGGTATGCTGGCATGATGTTGCAGGAAGTTTATATCAATACAGTTCTCCTTAAAGCAATACATCGAATTCTATTTGTCAGGACAGAAAGCATCGGTTAGCTATGGTATTTACTTTGAAAAATGCAATAGGTACAGAGTTCACTACCATTTGATTCATATGGAAAAATTCCAAAAAATTTTGCTTCTTTCATACTCCTTTCTTTCCTCAATGAGATAACTGAATACAGTAGATCCTTGTCATACATTTTTGTTGTTGTTTTTTTATCCAAATGTGTACCTTTTTTCCAGATCAGAGAGTTTTCACAAAAAATAAGCTAGTCTTTTGAGGAAATAAAATTTGAAGTTCCTCAATTCCATCAAAGTGCACCACATTTAATGAAGAATATAACATGAATGGTGACATGCTAAAAAATAAATAACTAAATAAAAATAGACTGTGTTTATGCTGAACAAGACCAAGCCAGACTAAGTCTCCGCTGTCCCAGTATTACATTGTCTCCTTTTGAGGTCCATCATGGCACCCTAAATCTGTTCACCTACTACCACTGCTATAAGCTTCAGTGGAGAAACAGAAAAAATCTCTGCCACTGTTATTCACATCAACTTTTGTAGATTAGCTAATATTATTATTACTTCTATTACTATTCCTTAATAACCCCATCAGACCTCCAGAATCAAGTGTTAACTTACTTCTGAGTGAACAATAACATTTTACACGAATCAGCTTAGACATGCAGGAACCTTCAGTCTCTGTACCTAGATATACTATGGAGCTTGTAAGTATTTTGAAATAAAAATTTAGAATTAAAAACATAGTTCTGAATGTTTGCGTTCAGAATATTCAGTACACAGAACTATTGCAAAAATGTCTGAAGTACTGCTTTTCTGGTCTTTTTACAAAATGATAGATAAAACACTTCTGTTAGAATCTTACCTGTACCCGCTGAACATCATCTGTGCATTGTTTCTCTGTTCCTAGGACAGTAGATTTCAACTCTGATTTTGAAAAGAAGATACAGGTTTTAAAAGTTCTATATAAGAAAAATTCATCGATCTTTCAAAATACACATTAAGAATTTCATGAAAAGAGTGCAAAGTTAAAAAGAAAACAATGTTAACATTCCACTTTCCAAATTATCCATCTAAAATTAACCAAACAGGTTATAAGCATAAACAAAGCCAGCCTGATCTCAATTTGCAATGTATGTATTATGACTCAACTTTAAATGCTACCATCTTAAACTTGAAAGAAGTCCATTTTAATTGTCAAAATTTTTGAATCAAAGAAAAATAGTTACTTATGGCTCTATTATACACATTCTACAGAAGGTCAAGGGAAGGTTCTCAGGCTTGTTCTTCCCATCCAATCTCATTAAGAAGTATTTCTGTCGTTAAGGTCTGCAGATTGTGTCTGTTCACAAAATGCCAAAAGAACCTACACGCAGAATGATGACCACTGGCAGCTATGTTGTCTTTTCATATCCACCACTGGACCTCCGCTGTCCTACTGTCAAAATTTGAAATCTCCACAATGAGATGGATACAGGTCTAAACTCACATTTTAAAAGCGTGCTTGAATGCAACAGGCCTTACTATTGCAAATACATTTTGAGAAATCTCAGTTTCATCCTAGCTTTACTATTCACTGTCTACAACATCTCAGCCTTACAAAGAGATGGTTTTGGACAGTACACTTATAGTGTAAGTGTACAGTCAGAGCTTCTCAGAACTGTAGACATAAAAACTGAGGATACAAAACTAATTCTTCACCTTTGTACTGAATTCCACATCTTCTCTTTTGGGCAAAGAACCAACATTAATTTGACTTTTTGAATTTTGACCACGTTACTCATTTACATTGAAAAATGAAACAGTAGTACTTCATTCTAGCTGTATCACCTTCAGTTATTTTCTACTTTGGAATAACTAATGAGAATCCTAATGAATACCTACTTAATTACTCTATTTAAATGGAGAAAAAAATTATTTATCCCAGAATTATGGTTGTAAATGGAGCTACAGATCTCGAACTATCACTGTAACAATGAAAAATAAAATAGCAGCGGGACTAAGTGCTTATATCTGCATATTTTACCTGGAAAATGGGCATCAAAACAAAAGACACCCCCCTCAACTATATTCCTTTTCCTATTTTAAAGCCTGGATAACGATCATTCTGTCTACAAATACTAGTCTTTGAGATCTCTGTTTTCATAAAAACATTTCAATTTAAACTAAACCTAAGCACAAAAGAAATTACGTGAAAACCTTGATTGTGCTAACATTTATTTCAGTGAGAGACATGTAATGTACATTTCTGCATTGTTTCTACAGTGTTGTATATTTGATTTGCTGCTGGATAAAATAACAGATTTTGTGCTGAAAACAACACAAGCGTGTAAGAACCCAATACGTGTTCAGGACCCTCAAATCTTTCGGTAAGCCATTACAGAGAATAACGAAGATGTCTTTTTAATTTATTTATGGAAGAGAGAGAGTCTGGTAGTTAAAGCACAGGGCTTGAATTAAAAGCTCTGGTTTCCATTCTGAACTTTCTACAGATTTCCTCTCTGACCTTTAAGAATCTCTCTATGTCTCAGTTTCTGTGCCTGATAGGAGATAATTAGGAAAAAGGAAAAACCAACACCACACCAAACCAAAAAACCCAAACCAAACAACCCCCAGCAGCTACACAGTGCAAAGATCTCCAACCACCTTAGTAGCTACTGCTAATGATGCCTCTTTAACTTGTCATAGCCTAATTTTGTACACAGGATAAGAACGGAAATATTTTTCTTATACCTGCGCAGAGAACATGTGTGCCTCACGTGCTTTTTTTATCTTTTAAGGTATAAAGAAGAAAATCTGTTGACCATTTGCAGGAAGAGTGAAGCAGCTGTGGTCCAGAATCTCTGGTTTCATAATTTCTGGACAGTTGGCCTCCTCACAGCTTTCTGGCAATCCCAGTTGTTGGGAGGCGAGACATACAAGGTTGGAAGTTTCATTGCCAGTGGTGGTTACGCTGCAAGGCTATCCCTTGAAAATTAATAATCCTCAACCTTTTTTACTTTTTTAATTGTTTACTAAAACAGCATTTCAAGTCTCATCTGACAGAATTGTTCCCAGTCCTAAAAAGCTGGATGACGATAGGCTGTCATTAACAGAAAATAACTCATCATCTCTCACTTCAGCAAGCTTTTAGTATGGATAAATCACACCTTGTTGCTGATTTTCAGGTAAGTTCATTTACTGAAGAAAATTCAGGATGCTACTGATGAATTGGACATTTACTCCTCATTACAGCCAAAAGAACCCCATCAAAACCAGTGAATTATTATTTTCTGGTAATAGCTATTAATGTCTCATCTGAAGGAAGGGAAGGAGTATTAACATTTTTAAACCAAGCAATTGTGAGATACTTGTTTTACAAATTATCTAGAAGAGAACATTTTTGGCTAACCCTACCTCAGTTGATTTGCAAAACGAGGGAAACTTCACTGGTGTTTGGGCACCAGTGATCTCCCCAGGGCCTGTGTACATGATTTTAGATTTCTGTATGGTTGAGAGAAGCTTTAAGATGAATTTGATCTTTGCTCACATCAGGTTTTCTTCTTTGCTAATGTTCTAGTACTAGACAAGACATGGACACACACAACTTAGAAAGTAATGTTTCCTGTTATGCAAATTGGCGCAAACTACCTCCCTTACTCAAAAGTTCTTAAAAAAATAGGAACAGGCTGCTCCTATATGTTTGTCAATATTTAACAATTTGACAGAATTATCTAGCTTATTTTTACCTCGTCAGGTTTTGTTCTAAAAAGAGTTCTAAATGTAAGCTGAGTTCAGGGCAATATGAGCAGTTAATTTTAAAGTTAGCTTGCCAAAATTCACCACATACGATCTATTTGCAGCAAACTAACAGGGTTTTCTCTTTGTTAAGCGAAACTAAAGAAAAAAAACAAAAACAAAAAACCACCAAAACCAAACACCACCACCGCAACAACAAAAGAAAAAGTTGAGGAAAGGAAAAAAGTGCTATATGACGAACAAAACCTTCCCTTTAACCCAAATCTAACATTTTTTTCCTCCTCATTTTTCATAAAACAAAGGAAATAAATATCTGGACAAGCCTAGTTTTGTTAAAGACACTAACTTAAATTTCAGGGTATAAACCCACACAGAGATGTAACGTATTGGAACTGTTTCATTTTGTAGGAGAAGCTGTATAATCTTTGAGTCTCTGCCCAGGTGGGAGATAGGATGACTGGGTTCTAGTGCCTGCAAACTTGCCCTTTCCTGTATGTTAAGTGGAACAGTGTCATCAACAAAGCATTAAAATAACTGAATTTCAAATACCCTGTTGTGTTTAGATTCAGGCAATTTGCCGGGGTGTGAGAGCACCTGCTAGAGTCAAGTACCATAAGAAGCAACAGAAACAGATTTTGGGTATTCAGATGGAAAATTAGTGGCATACACATTGATCTTATTGGTGATATTGACTCATTTTGTCCAAAAACTTTTCTGAATCCACAACTGAAAAACGTTTTTGGCATAAGTATCTGCTGACTTGAACCCAAATTCATATTAGGTATTTCCAACCTTCAGTTTTTTTAACAAATAGCCAAACGAAAAACAAAACCAACCCCCCCCCAAAAAAAAAAAAAAAAAAATCCCAAAATAAAAAAAAAACGACACCAACCAACCTGACCAAAAAAACTCCTGACCACTCTAATAGCCCTTTCCTCACACCCAGCAATGCTTCACATGACACAGAGCACATAGCAAAACTATTTAATATGTCCTATATTAAACAGATTATTAATTACTTTGCTCATTTAGGAAGAGACTACCTAAGACCTTGCAGAATTTCCTCTTGCCTTACTTATAAACTTGAAGGTCTAGTATTGTCCTCATGCTAACATGCATATAATAAAAAAAAAGACTCTACATGTAAAGATATCCTGCTACATTTCTCTTTGGATCAATACTTCTGTCTAAAAAGGATGCTGTTTTTTATAAACCGTTGTCTCTAATGTTAATATTGTATCTGTTTAATTCATACAGCAATAATTATATATAATGCAAAATACAGCTACTCTGCACACAGTAATTTAAATCTTTTAAAAAATGCTTGCCCCCTCCACCTTTCAAAGCCACGTATACATAAAATAATTTAGTTACAAATCTCAACAAGCGTGCTTATCCTTCAGGCTCCATATGCAACATCACTCACCTCCAGGTTCTTCCACATGGCAAGCATGTGAACAATCAAACAAAAAGTTAAATTATGAACTGTATTCAGGACAATTATATTTTTTCCTTTTCCCTCCATCCCCCACACTGTAAATTCACACAAAACCCCAAAATTTCAATAATATTTTTAAGTGTCATGACCTCAAGTAAATTTTGAGAGTTATTTATGTTCTATTTAGAACTAGTCATAATACGCAATTTTCCATTTTACTTCTAATTCTGTTTTCTGAATATTCTTGCAGTTTTTGAGAGGGCAGTAGCTGAGGTGAGGAACAGACAAGTACTGTACATACTATATCCATGTAGTAGGTACAATATTAAATAGAACAACATAGGATGGAAACAAACCACATATAAATGAACACATTTAAAAATTATTAGTTATTATCCTCTTGGTAGAAATACTCTTCCAAACTGGTAAAAAGAGTAAAAACCTTTACATTTCAAAATATTTTATGCAATCAATGTTTTCCTAGATTTTAGAGCAACAAAACTGTTGTTAACTTGCAGCAGCCTCTGCCAGGCTAAAACCTTTAAGTAAAATAATAAAATATTCACTCTCCTGTTTTTCCAGTGCAGAGTATGTTCATAAATACTCTGATCACTCATCCATTAGCTAAGTTTCCAAGATGAGAAGCACAACTTGTCCTCTCAGAGTACATGGCAATGAATTCTACTATCACATATGACAGCACTTTCATTGAATACAGCATAAAATAGTAGATCATTAGCCAAAAACCGGACTAGCCCAACAGTCCAGTATTGCAGCTTTCCACACTCTGAATTGCACCAGTGAGATGGATGCAGAAATGTTTCCTTGACTTCTAATAGAGCTGCTTTGGCAAAAGCCACAGCATAAACAGAATAATGTAGCAGTACTGCATTTTTGTTGGCATCACTTATTTTGCTTGTGAAGGCTGGAATAAGTGATACCAGTAAAAATGAAGTGTTGCCATGATAAATGGTGTCCATGCAAGGAACACTTTGCCTGTGTTCCAGAGGAAGTGGTAGAGAAGTCCCAAAGAGAAACAACTCTGAAATTAACTCCACCCAAAGCCTACAAGCAATACAAAGAGATCTGTTGAAATAATGACTTAATTCTTCATATCTGAGCAATGAAAAAAAGGAGTGGTAGGAATGGAAAATTTGAGAATACCTAATGGCTCTCCATGGAGGTCCTGGGGATGAATGCAGCCTGAAAGTGTTGAGAGCCGCTGAATACTAACGCAAAGCTAAACCTCCAAGAACCTGTGGTATTTGCCCATCAACACTACTACCAGATAACAGGTTTGAAATTCCCTTCTAAATTTCTCTGTCAACTACAAGAGTGGGGTTTTTTGTTTGTTTGTTTTGTTTAAATTCTCAGTTTAAACAAAGCTTTTAATGAGTATGCAGAAGATTTCAGGATTTTGGCTTGTAGAGTAACCTCACAAATTTTAAGATAAACTGACTTTGTAAACAAGATCTCAATTTATTTTTCAGATACACTTTTCCTACCTCTCTGTCAGCAGGGGACTGCTGAATCCACAAAGGAATACCTTACACCACTCTAATAACTTTCAGTATACCACCAGTGGGCTTCTGAAGTTTTCCATATTTTTAGAAGAGAAAAGTGCCCATATTTCATGGCTCTGAAGTTATGTAAACTGGAAAAGAACAAAGGTCACAATACCTGGTAAAATCCATTAGTCAGCAGATGTCAGGTGTACATCTTGGTTGTTAACAGAAAGCATACATTTTTGCTGAATATTTTTTATTAGATTCATACTAGCTAACATTATTTCTGATGCTAATCCAAGATCTTCAAAATCAGGTATTTGTTAGAAGTTAAAATATTAAGTTTATATCTTGTATTCTAAAAGACAGGAGCTCCCCCCATGGCACAGGTATATCTTGTCTGTGTCCAAGAACTATACCTTCTTCTGTAATTTTGAGCCTTTGTTCTTCGTCTGGAGGTTTGGGTGGGGGCCATACAGATGGAATTCTCCTTGGAAAGCTTCCTTCAATGTAATCTGATGAATGTGTGGGTTGGCTAACTGCAGCCCAAGTATAAAGCTGGTCTTGCTGCGGTTATTAAAAAAAAAGAAAAAAAAAAGTTGAGAAGTTCATATAGAAAGACAAGCTCAAAATATCAAAGCTTTGACACAAATAGCTCAATATTCACCTCTATATCAAGGCAGACTGGTTTTTATGCTCTTCATCTCCTGACAAAGACTTAACATAAACCTATATTAAAAGAATTTAATGTTCCAGTTTTGGAATTACCTCTATTAACAATAGAAAAACTAATCTTTTCAGTATCTGCAGCACAATGAGATGCTAGAATAGAGTTCAGCACTTTTTTTGAGCATGAAGAGCTCTTTGCCACTTAGAGAGATAACAGTTTCTGTCCATCATGACTATACTTCTTTGCATATGGTTAATTTATAGGTTAGAACAAATATTTCAGTCCACACTCAATGTAATCTTTTTACAGCAAATGCACAAGCAAGGAAAAGAAGCAGGATTATTTCAGCAGAAATTAAATAGAGATATTTATTCTTTGAAACCCTGTTTTTGTCATTTACATTTCCATATTCATAGAAAGGCAGCTAAAAAGGTGAGTTTGCTTTTAGAATAAAATAAAATTTAAAAAAAAAGGAAACACCACACTCTCAATCCTCTGTGCTCACATCAGATTATATCCTTATTACTCAACAGCTTTGAGTTTGATTCACTTATTAAAAGTAGGAGACATCCAGACTGTCTAATGAAAACTAGGGCAAACTTGTGCTTTAAGCCAATAGAAAGATTTTAGATGACCACAATTTAAGTAGTTATTCTTGTGACTACCAGTATGCATCGACATGCATGCCTTATGATTATAATACTGCAAAATAAGATCATATTCATTACACTTCATTCATGCTATTACCTGAGTAAAACATTGGTGATTTGTTCTGCTGCATATTTCATTTTTAGATTAAAAACTTTTTTTTTTTTTTAAAAAATTTTACACAGATACTAAACATTGAAAAAAACATGCAGGGGGATGAACAAAATAATTTAACACTTTTTTTCAGATAATTGCTATTCCATGTGACTAAGCTTCTACTTGCCTAAAAATAAGTTGTGATACGAGTGATAACATTCTATTGAGAGTGACTTGCTTAGAACAGACAAATGCTGGTCATAAAGCAAAAAGTTTTGGTTTACAGAGGGTGCCTCAAACAGTCAGGGTCAAAGGAAGCTCATTAAATCTTTCCAGCATGAAAAATGTGGAAAAAATCCAGCCACATACACAGACCTTAGATAAAGGTAAAAATAAACGGATAAAAAGCTTAAAACAAAATCATGTCAGGTTCTTTACACAGCCCTGAGCTCTATGTTCCTTGAAAAGCCCATCCTTTTCCATTACTATGCTACTGCATTTGAACATCCAAACAGGCTCGGTTAATGCAGTTCTTTCAGTACCTTGGTTCCTGTGTCTAATTCCAGCTTTTTACAGGATACGTATTTTGGGGTTTCTGCCTAATTTCCAGTACTGTGGGAGTAAAAGGGAGAGTCATACCTGTACATACTGTGTGAAGAAAAAGAAAAGGTGCTGGATTTTGCTATTTGTCTTGTTTCTGCACCATCCAAATATCAAAAATTTGAGAGGAAAATAAGATTCCTTATTGAATGAATAAGTCATTCATGCAAACCAGAAGAAATTTTTTTTGCCAACTCTACTACCTTACACAGTACAGGGAACACAGGGAAGAACAAGATCTACAGAGGGTTAGCTGGGTAAGCACAGGCGACTTTCAACAGGATTGCACGTAGGGTTATAGGGCAATAAACCAGAAAACAACAGGCTGTAGATAGTATTAACATAGCATGAATGAGGAAGACAAACAGTTAAACTGTTTCTGGACATGGTATTTCATCATGTCAGTTCTTGAAAGATACAGTAAAATCATTTAATAACAGATTTTTGAAGTATGATTAGTCTACATGAATTGATGTATTAAAAAAATCATGGTATGTCTCAGAACTATTGTACAGATGGGATACATTATGAGGCTAATAAAATATGAAGTACCTACGTTCTTGCTGATAGAATTTACAGCACATAAACTATGAACAGTTATAAATTAAGACATCACAGAACTCCATAATTGACCCCTAACCCAACATGGGAGCTTTGTTTGGGAGTATAAAAGTCAGTATTTTTTGGTTTGTGTTGTTTTTTGGTTTGGGATTCTTTTCATTCACTATTCAACATAGAGAAGCATGATGGAACAGACTCATCATATAGCAGAAATTTACAGAGGTAAATGTAAACTTGCAAAAATGCCTTGGAGGGGCTTGCACTACAACCAAACATATAAACAAGGTACTCAGGTGTTCAACATGAGTATGTGTTATATGTGTTCAACATACAAACAAAGTATATAACAATAGCTACATTCAGATTACTTCCAAACTTATAAACATAATTTAAAATATGAAAAACCTTCATGACAGAAAGGGAAGATCTTTTGGGGGGAAGGTCTGGACTTCAAGTTGATAGTCCACAAACTACACTTAAAATGGGAGAAGATTAACCCTGTCTCCACTTTCGTGCCCTTTAAGAAAGATGAATCATTTGAACGTCCTAATTCCTACTCACCCAAGCTACTGTCCAAAATCTAATCCTCTTTACCCTTCGTCTTTAGCACCCTGTCAGTTAATATACCAACTCATCTCATTTCTCCTTTTCCAAATCAGATAATACCATAAATGTGCATGATTATTAGAACATTTTGAAGAAAGATATGCAGCCAGTTCTATGATGCTGAAGTACTATTCAAGTAAAAGAAACAATAATCCAAATTTTAAAATCCAGATTTGCTTTTATCATTAGTAATTGTAATATAAGCATCCAGAAACCTGGATTTCCACATCCAACTTTTTCTCCTTTAATCTTTTCATTTCAGAGGCAATTTTTACTAGATATCATTGCAAGTACAGCCAGTAAATACTCTTACCGTGATCAAGCTTTGAATACATCTGGAATTTCCACTTCATCTTGTTCAGATTCCATTATTCAGTGTTTAAAACACTTCTTTTTTGGGGAAAAAAATAAATCTCTCTTTCCTTGTAATAATGATCCCAGACTTATTTATTCAGACTTATTTCTGGTGGACATTGAAAGCTTAAAGCTGTTTGAGTCCAGTGCACTACACATGATGTCAAGAAGAGTTCTCGTTTCCACACATCCTTACACAGCACTTTCCACTGGTTCTTAAAACTGCAGAGCATTTGCACATGGGCGAGGCAAACTGCCTGCAGGATCTGATAATACCTAATCAATAGATATTTTACCACTTATAGATGCAAGCATTTACAATAGAGTCAGAGAGAGTCAAGTCTGCAGTTTAACTCACTCTCTTCCCCGCCAGCTCTCAGTAGGCACAAAGAATGGCTTTTTGTAACAAATTTTCATTCTTGGGTACCACAGTGTTATATTTTGGGTACATAATATATTAAATATTCATTATGTTCCTTCACTGTTTGAGCTAAAGATATGCTTTCCTGCTAATATTTAAAGATGGAAGCCAGTGATGTAAGCTACTCAAAGTAAGGGCCTCTAGCAAAGGACATACCAAAAGAGGCTGGTGGACCCAGAACTAGAGCCATGAGCTAGACCTGCAGCAAACATCAGAAGGCATACTGGTGGACCTTAGCATTCAGAAAAGAGGTCACACATTTTTCATGGAGAGGGACCAGGTTTGTTCCCTGGACCACAGACCGAATTAGAGATTAAGATCTCCCCCACTGTAGGAATATAATGTGCAACCTTGAACCTATGCTTTTGGCAGCTGTATTTCTCCGAGATATGCAGATAATATGACCCTCTGTTCAACACCACTTCATTTTTTAATCAACTGTTTATTTGCTTCCAGTTCGAGGGACAAAGATGGCCATTGTGAGAAATGCTTAAAAGAAGTACAAGAGAGAGAGTTGAAACAGCAATAAATGTATACACATCTGTCCAAACTGGTGGCAAAAGCATGAATTAGCAATGTGAGAAACAAGGGGGAAAAAAATCTGACCAGAAGTATTTTGACAGTTCTCAAGGGGAAAAAAGAAAAGTGCAGCCAGATCATGCATGGTGAGATGGGAAAGGTGGGGCTGTACAGAAGCCCACTACTATCAGGAGTAGCCTCTGCTCTTCAGCTCAGGACACCACTAGGTGGGGGAAGCACATTAGCAGCACCTCTAAACTTTCTTACACTAGAGTTGGTTCTAACTTCCCTGGTGGCTCCTGTGTTGTGATGGAATCAGGTGCTATCTTGCAGGGCATTTATTTTCAAATAGTAAACTTGAACAATTTTTCACTAGAAACCCAAACATTCAAAGTTATCCTGAAGAGGGGAGAACAGAAGGGTTGGCATGTCCACAGATGGGTACAAATGGGCCAGGAGTAAAACACAAAGTGGTAGTTACGAGAAAGTTCCTACTCATCAAATCAGTCTGGATGTAGACAGCCTTCCAATGGGAAGAGCTGGAGGAGTAGGGAGAGGAAAAAGTATAACTGCATTTAAGATGCAGTATTTAAGAGAGAAACTCATAGAGGAATTACATTTTATGGTACTCGGGACAAGCAGGAGCCAGACTCCATGACTCAGAAGGTGTTTTCCAGGCTAAGAGCTCCAAAGAATTTTCCATATTTGTATATAACTGCTTGTCATTTAGACTGTTTCAAGTGCATGGAAGGAAATATTTTTCTATTCAGGAAGTTTAATAATTTTAATATACTAAGTATACAACTTCTAAAATGAAAGAAAGTCAATTGCATGTTCCCATTGCATAAACAGTTAATAGGGCACGCAAGGTTTCAGTTTGAGAAATTAGAGCCGGACTACCTCAAAATGCTCTTATCAGCAGAAGACTGCTTTATTTTAAGCAGCTTTTAAAATAAAGAAATCAATACTATTAAGAATGGGGAAAGTGGTTTACTTTTTGAGGAGAGGTTCAGTTACAAAGCTTTGTCTGACCACTGACAGAACCAGAGCAGTGATTAAACATGGTTCTCGGCCTGTACTACCTTTGGCAGT